TCTTAGTATTATCAGCAAAAAGACATACCTTACCATCAAAACCTTCTGCAATATCACTAATAAAAATATTAAAGAGAATGGGTCCAAGTACAGATCCCTGAGGTACCCCACTGGTAAGAAGTCCAAGCTTCAAATATATTCCATTAACTACAACCCTCTGTTGCCTGTCACTCAGCCACTGCCTTTCAACAATATTTGAATCCAAACTTAAAGATTGCAGTTTATTGATAAGCCTTCTATGTGCAACAGTGTCAAAAGCTTTACTGAAATCTAGGTAAGCAATGTCTACTGCACCACCCTGATCTATAATTTTAGTTACCCAATCAAAAAAATCAATAAGATTAGTTTGGCATGATCTACCTGAAGTAAACCCATGTTGTCTCTGATCTTGAAATCCATGTGTTTTTAGATGTTCATCAATCCTATCCTTTAACATGGTTTCCATCCCTTTCCCCACTACTGAAGTAAGGCTTACTGGCCTATAGTTGCCCGACTCCTCCCTATTACCTTTCTTGTAAATGGGCACAACATTTGCTAACTTCCAATTTTCTGGGACTACTCCTGTTAACAATGATTGGTTAAATAAATCTGTTAATGGTTTTGCTAGAACACCACTAAGCTCTTTTAATAGCCTTGGGTGTATTCCATCAGGTCCCATTGACTTATTTGTCTTTACTTTTGACAGTTGAAATAGAACTCTGTAAACTCACGTGTAATAAATTACTCATTTATCCTTTTTAGAGTAGATAACTCCCTAATTCCCACGGCATTAGGGAGTTGTCTACCAAAAGGCTGAAAGACCTAAATTGGTCTTTCAGTCAAATGTACTAATACTAAGTAAAAATTATGCTTATTGTCTATCTATTAAACAGTGAGCAGCCTACTCACTGTTAAAAAATAAATACATTTTTAAAAAAGTGTCCCCCCTCCTGAGCCCCCACTCATGCTGCACAGTGAACGGGGCCCTAAATTAAAATAAGGGACAGGGGACATATATTCCTCCCCCCGGCCCTCAACCCTGAGCGGCGGATGGGGGCCCTAAATTAGAATAAGGGGGGGATCTATTGTCCTCCACTCCAACCCCTGAGCAGCGGGCGGGGGCCCTACAGTAAAATAATGGGGGGACCTATTGTCCTCCCTCACAACCCCCACCCCTGAGCAGCAGGTGGGGGCCCTAAAGTAATATAATGTCCTCTCCCTGGCCCCCACCCCTGAGCAGCGGGTCGGGCCCTAAATTAGAATAAAGGGGGGGACCTATAGTCCTCCCCCCGGCCCCCACCCCTGAGCGACGTGTGGGTGGCCCTAAGTTAGAAAAAGGACCTATTGTCTTGAGTGGTGGGTGGAGGCCCTAAATACCAATAAGGAAGGGGGACCTATTGTCCTCCCCCCGGGCCCCCACCCCTGAATGGTGGGTGGGGGCCCTAAATATCAATGTAAAATGACTTAACCCCTAACTACCCCCCTCACCCTAAAAATAATGAGGGGGGACCATTAACTAGGTAACTATAAAAAAAAAAAAAAATCAGAGTTGTAATTAATGGTAGATTTTCAGGCTGGACAAAAGTGGTAAGTAGTGTCCCTCAGGGTTCTGTTTTGGGACTACTTCTATTTAACATATTTGTAAATGATCTTGAAATAGGCATTGAAAGCCATGTATCAGTGTTTGCAGATGACACCAAACTTTGTAAAGTAATGCAGAGGGATTTGGATAGATTGGGGGACTGGGCACTAAAATGGCAGATGAAATTTAACATAGAGAAATGCAAAGTACAAGCAACTTACACACTAAATGGTAGTGAATTAGGGATAACCACAAACGAGAAGGATTTGGGAATTGTTATAGATAACAAATTAGGCAGCAATATGCAATGTCAATCTGCAGTTGCTAAGGCCAATAAGATTTTTGTCATGTATAAATAGGGGCATAAATTTTCGGGATGAAAATATAATTTTGTTTCTTTATAAATGGGGGCTCTAAATACCAATAAGGAAGGGGGACCTATTGTCCTCCCCCTTGGCCCCCACCCCTGAATGGTGGGTGGGGGCCCTAAATTAGAATAAGTGGGCAGATGACACCAAACTTTGTAAAGTAATAAAATGTGAGCAGGATATTGCTTTGCTGCAGAGGGATTTGGATAGATTGGGGGACTGGGCACTAAAATGGCAGATGAAATTTAACATAGAGAAATGCAAAGTTATGCACTTTGGGGTTAAGAATGCACAAGCAACTTACACACTCAATGGTAGTGAAATAGGGATAATCACACACGAGAAGGATTTGGGAATTGTTATAGATAACAAATTAGGCAGCAATATGCAATGTCAATCTGCAGTTGCTAAGGCCAATAAGATTTTTGTCATGTATAAATAGGGGCATAAATTTTCGGGATGAAAATATAATTTTGCTTCTTTATAAATCGCTGGTAAGACCACACCTTGAATATGCTGTGGAATTTTGGGCGCCTGTTCTAAAGAAAGATATCATGGCACTAGAAAACGTCCAGAGACGAGCTACAAAATTGTTTAGTTATGAAGAAAGGTTAGAAAAATTAAATCTGTTAAGTTTGGAAAAACGGCTCCTGAGAGGGGATATGATAACGTTATACAAATATATTCGGGGCCAGTACAAACCTTTATCTGGAAACCTATTCATAAACAGGGCTATACATAGGACACGAGGTCACACATTTAGGCTGGAAGAAAGGAGATTTCATCTAAGACAAAGAAAATGTTTTTATTACAGTAAGAGCAATAAGGATATGGAATTCTCTGCCTGAAGAGGTGGTTTTGTCAGAGTCACTACAGAGGTTTAAACTGCAATTGGATAAATACTTACAAAAACATAACATATAGGGATATAATTTCTAATTAGTGGGGTAACAGCTGGTTGATCCAAGGAGACATCTGACTGCTATTTTGGGGTCAAGAAGGAATTTTTTCCTAGTTTGTGGCAAAATTGGAAGCGCTTCAGACTAGGTTTTTTGCCTTCTTTTGGATCAACAGCAACAACATATGTGAGGAAGGCTGAACTTGATGGACACAAGTCTCTTTTCAGCTATGTAACTATGTAACTATAATAACCGTCGCACTTTAAAAAAAACAAAAACAAAAAACAGAGTGCCAAAAAAAAAATCCATGTTCACCCATGGAGGGCTCCGCACAGACTGAGCTCTGCAGGGTGGGGGAAGGCTTATAAAGCCTCTCCCTGCCCTGCAATTAGGCTCAGAGCACCCATTGTTGGTTGGTTTAAGCCATCCAATCAAAGTGCTCTGACAGGTAAATGAAGAGACTGACAGGTAAGTCTCTACAGTTACCTGTCACAGCACTCTGATTGGTTAGCTTGGAATCTAGCCAGAGTGCTCTGTGTCATTTTACACAGCGTGGGAAAGTTCTTTGGAATTTTCCCACGCTGTGTAATTTGACTCATAACAACACTGATTGGTGGATTGAAAGTAACCAGAGTGTTGATATGAGTCAAATTACACAGCGTGGGAAAATTCCAAAGAACTTTCCCACGCCGTGTAAAATGACACAGAGCACTCTGATTGGTTGGATTTCAAGCTAACCAGAGTGCTGTGACAGGTAAACAAACTATCGAACGATCGACCACTCTACCTGAGAAGTGTGCCCCTGATTAACCGCCCAGGATTTGCGGTTTTGTGGTTAACTGCAGCCTAATTGTCCGTCAACAGGGTGGTCGTCGTTCGAATGCACGAACACATGGTGGCGGCCATTTTTAACTTCTGAACGCCCAGTGGGACCTGGTCGTCAAACGCTTGGTACTCTTTTCGGATACTATTTCAAATGAAATCCCCTGCTGGGATTTATCATGCCCCGTCTGTTCGTGTATAAAATACCAAAGATCGTGCTGTTCGGTATTTTAAGACTACGTAGGGTACACCGACCCCTTGCAGGACACTAAGGTCGAGGATCCCTGGGCTGATAACTGCCGAACAGCCCTCAAGACAATCCTTATCCCCATGGCGTTCCCATGCTATTCGTGAGATCTGAGCGTTTTTCGTAAATATTGTGCGCTCAGATCCAAGCTGTCTGGGAACAGGTTGAATGTGACAATTAAAGACTATGGTGTATAAGTTATGTATTTTTATTCGATTTTCATGTATCCATAAGTTATAATGTTGCATGTACCTGGAGATAATTGAGTTACTGTAACCGTTGGAACTAATTATCTCCAGACTAGAGGGGAGGATTTGAAAGAATGCACTTTGTCCCCATTGGTTGCTGCCCTTTGAAACCCTGTGTACCATCAGGTCCAGAGGGGTGTGCCTCTGGCCTGAAAATATGTATTTAAGCAGTGCATGAGTGATCAATAAACCAGTCTTCTTACCCTCAACTCGGAGCCTCGACTCGTGCTGTAGGGAAATGTGTTACACTAGTTCTACCTATAGCTAGCTGGATGTTCTACACTTACAGGATTATTGTTGGATGCTGTTGGAATCTCGCTACTACTCTCCAGGATTGGGAATTAGGACATCTAAGCGGTCCAACCCTCAGCCAGCCTGAGGTCAACTGTAACACCTTCCTTTCAGGATCAGCAATGTTCCCAGGACCTTATTACTATCATTGCACTTCTAAAAAAAAAAAAAAAAGGGGGAGGTCGTTATCCACTACCTGAACAATATTCTGGTAGTAGCCCTGTGTAAGATAGGAGCCTATGTCCCTCCATCTTGTCTCATACTACTAGTTTCAATAGTTTTCCAAGGTTACAAGGTTATTGTGTACATGTAGCAGATATAGAATTTGACACTTAGCCTAGTAAATATTTTACCAATAATGTATGTTGCATGATGTGCTTACACAGAATCTGAGGACCCTGCTAAGCAATAATGATTGAACGACTGATTAATCACAGGAATGCTATATGAAACTAGTTAGATATGAAACTAGTTACAAAATGATTCATGCATTATGCTTTCTTGTCTAAACTGTAACTGTATAAATACCCTTTGCTCTCCCATTTAAGATCAGAAGCTGTCTGTGTGATAACGTCTCTGAGCTTGTAACTGCTATTCTAATTAGGAAACCACGAAGTATACAAGAGATCAGGAATTTCCCTGACAGAAAATGTGGTGCCGAAACCTGTGACATGGCGACTGTTGTTTCTCTGGACCATGAGTAAGGTGACCCTCCAGTGACTGTGAAATACTTTGCTGAAGCAAGGTAAGAAGCCTTTATTATAAAAAAAAGATTTGTCGTCATTTTCTTTCTCTTTTTTCATTTTTTTTTTTGTGCTTAGTATATTTAAACAATCTTACATTGCCACGACAGCAGATGTAAGCATTTGAATATACATAGTAGAACAATTGCATGGGAAACAATTTTCCGGCACATTTTTGTAGTATTAATAGTAGATGAGAACAGTGAAGCTGAACTTTGTGTAAAAGAACATTAAAACAGACTATCACAGGCTGATCTAAAGGTAGCTCACATGTACCATCAGGGATGTAAAACCGGTTCAGACTTATGTGATAGGAAGCTTAACCCCGTGGTGAGGAATCTGAGCTAGAGTATAGATTTTAACATCCCTAATAGGATAACATATTCAAAACTAGAGTGCAAGATTTATGTAAAACCACAGCATTTTTGTTCATGATCTGCTACACTGCATGGCAGAGAGGCTGCAACATAATAATAAGCAAGTAGTACTCTTAGGATAAGTTTAGTCCCGGGATCTGTACATGGCTTTCATCCCACGCCATGTCTTGTGACTTGATTATTCAGTCCTGGGTTGAGGCAGAGAAAGGGACTGAGCAGGGTGTTGTCTAGTTGTGTGGAAGCCGCAGCGTTTTTTGCCAGCTCTTTCAACTCGAGTGAATGTGTGGTGCCTATCACCGCAGGTCATGGGGTGCTCTCCACTCCGTTGTTGCTGGGTTAGCTGCTGTGGTGGTGAAGCTATGCTGCACAAAGCTGATCCAGGGGTGTTAGCAGCCTGCCACCATGAAGTATGTAGTCAGCGTTGTTTGTAGGAGCTGTTGTGATGCTGGCAGCCGCCATCTTAGGTAAGCAGAGTTTCACTGCTTCCTCCAGCCTGTGCCCATCCAGTAGGGTTTGTGTGTGTAGGTCCAAGCTTGTAGCGATGCCGTTGTGGACCGGTCTGACCCCCTCCAGTGCAAAGGGGGGTGGGGAGTATCTGTGATGCCCTACAGGATCATCTGCTTGGCCGCAAAATGGACCTAAGAATTAGAGGGTTATATGTGTACTTTGGTGGTTGTAATGTCGTGTCCTGACTGGTTGCAGACTGCTGAATTGTTTTGCCTATTACAGATAATTGTTATTACATTTCTGGTAGTCTATCTTCGAACCAAGTTGAAGGTAGCTAAAGGACAATCCCCTGGTTTACTGATGTGATGTAAGAAAAAGGATTCTGATATTTTTTATTGCCTGTATTGTTAATTCCTCGGCAGGGCTCATTAATACAAGTTTTTTGTATTGTAAGTTGAGGCAATTAACAGGACTTGCTGATTAAAGCAAGATGTGAAATACTGAGAGTACTCCCAGAGGGGATTTAGGTCCGGAACAGACAGACAGCCAAACAGATTGTAAAAGACTACCAGGGTAAAAATGCAGTCACAGGAGTCAAACATATGTTAAAGAAAGCAGGCATGACTCTTGAAGGCAGTTTAGATTTCTTATTGTGACAAAGCTTTAACAGCAATTGTAAGGCTTGGCTCACAGATAATGGATTAGTGGGAAGATACTTCTTTAAAAGTCACCCAGGCAGGCTGTAGGGAGACTATCAGGTGAGGCATACCATATTATCAGTGCTATACTGATCTCAATAACACGCGCACAACCCCTCCAGTTAGTGAGGGGGCAGCAGCCACTGAAGCCCCACTGCCTTATCTCACCAAACAACCCCTGCAGGGTCCTGCTCCAACACCCACCCATGGTCCACATGGCTGGTGAATATGCCCTCAGTGTCACTGGAATAACCCATGGTGGGAAGAGAAGTGTAGAACTTGTAGGTTTACTCACCCCCCCTATCCACCATAGACACCCAGAACATGTGCCCCTGATGCCAGTACAGCTCCATAGGGTTTGGTCGCCAGGACTAGTGTACCCCAACTTAATCTAGACCAATCTGTAGCAGGAGACACAGATGGAGCACCCTCAATCTCCACTCCTGCACTGGGAGCTGCAGTGAGTACCCCCCTTGCACCACTCACACTCCACCTTTGGACTTGGCTTGAATATAACCCTGGACCCCTTCAGACCAGCTAGCCATGCTCAAGCAATTACCAGACCCTGAAGTCCTGCAGGAACGGTGTTCCAGCACTTTTTTCACAGCAGAAACGCCGTTCCCTTTGCTCCTGTAGACACTATAGAGGGGGAGACAAAAAAATGCCACCCCCAAATGTCCCCGTCTTCCCCCTGTCATGGGGGCCACCTGATGGAACTCCCCCCCCCCGGGTGTGTATGAGTGTATGTGTATGTATGAGTGTATGGCTGTTAGTGTATGTTGGTTAGTGTATGTGAGTGTGTATGAGTGTATTTACATCTGTTAGCGTACATACGTGTCTGTGTATGAGTATGTGCATCTGTTAGTGTATGCATCTGTATGTTTGTGAGTGTCTGTCAAATCAGGGAGAGTCTGTTTGTCATTTAGTGTGACTATTAGTGTGTGTTTGCGTGTGTCTCTCTGTCAATGAATGAGTGTGTGTCAATGAATGTGTGTGTGTCAAATCAGTGAAAGTGTGTGTGTCTGTCATTGAGTGTGTTATTGTCAGTGTGTATCTGCCAGTGTGTGTCAGTGAATGTGTGTGTGTCTGTCAGAGTGTGTGCTTAAAGGGACACTATAGGCACCCAGACAACTTCAGCTCATTGAAGTGGTCTGGGTGCAGTGTCCCAGTCCCCTTAAACCCGCAAGTGTAATTATTGCAGTTTCTCAGAAATTATCTTGAGTGGTAACTCCACCTCTAGTGGCTGTCTTGACAGCCACTAGAGGGACTTTCAGGTGGTTAGGTGACCAAAAGTTGACTAACTGATGCTGGACGTCCTCACGCTGTGCATGAGGACATCCAGCATCTGCTAAATACCCATAGGATTTTAACCCCTTCAGTGTTGAGTAGGGCAGAGGAGGACACGAGACACTATAGCATTCCCTTAAAAGGAGCAGGAAAAGGTGGAGTCTAAAGAGGAAGGGGTGGGTTCTTAATCAGGAAGAGGCGCGCCCTTGACAGGAAGGGGTGGTAAATTTAGATTAGGGGAGTGCCCAGGTTTAGTTATGCCTAGGGCATCACAAAATTAATATACATCACTGTGTGAGTGTTTGAGTATGTGTGTGTGCACGCGTTTATATATGCATAAGAGTGTATTTTTTTGGAGGGGGGGGTTGCTGGATCTTGGTTGAGTTCCCACACTTTTTTCTCCAGGACTTGACCCCTGGGGCCACCTATTGCTGCACTTGGGCTGACTTGGAATCCCTCGTAAAGGCAAAGACTGGTCCTGTGATGGCATCTGTCCCACTATATAACTGCTCTGGAGAAATGGGCAAAGTATAGGCTCACTGATCTCTCTAGTCAGCTCACAGACCTAACCCAAGTTAAAGGAGAGTCAGTAGAACGATTCTTCGCCAGATTACACCCGGGATGCCCTAGCCCAGCGCCTGCTCTGTAATTGCTTTATGGAAGGCTTGCTGCCCTCCATAGCCACAGGTCTAAAATCAGTACACCCTGAATGACGTAGTCTCCCTTATGGAGATTTGGTAAAGGTGGCAAAGGTAGTTGAGGCTAACCGCCCTCAGAAAGAAAGGAAAACCTATATAATGACCTTCCAGGAAAGGGAAGAGATGGCTAACAGACAGGTGCTCAAAGATTGGGTTCCACCTTTTGGAATTAAGGAGGGATGGGTCATATTAGGAAAGATTGCAGATGCCCACCACAAAAGCAGACTAACTGAACACCAGCTGCCCCTCTGGCAAATGAGACCTCTCTAGAATAGGAAATTGGCAACCCTGTAACTGTGCGCAACCTTAAAGTACCTAATTATATGGGTCTGTCTCCAACTATTATGGTTTCTCTACCCTGCATCGGGACCCTGCCATTTCTGATAGATACGGGCGGCAGCCAGATCTGTTGTGCATGAAAAATATGTGTTTTCCTTTGAAAAATCCAATTAAATGGTTACCTGTGTAGGTGTAGATGGTTCCCCCACGAATTGCCCACTCTCCCATGAGATAAAATTACAGTTTCATGACTCGAAGGCAATGGTTTCCTGATTGCTAATCAGTCACACTGCCCCAGATAACCTTTTAGGCAGTTATGTACTGTCAGCAATCAACGCTAACATGGTATATAACCCAGATGGTACCATCTCCTTGACTTCAGCCTTGCATGAAAACTGTTTGCTTCAGCTTTCCCAGGCATTGACAAATACAGTGTTTTAACTCCTGCTCCACCTCTGCCACCAGAGCTAGATGAAGTTCCCTCCACATTATGGGCGTGTTGTGATATGGCTTAGGGACAAAGGGCAAGCCTTTTTGGGGGAGGTGTGTGAACACATGAGGGCTACCCCATTCATGTAGAACCAGAGTTATGAAAAAGATGAGTATATGAGGTGGAGACAAAAAGGAACAAGTGTGGATACACAAGGTAGAGGCATGTGAGCCTTCTCCCATTGCGTCTCTTATTTGGGGGAGGTGTCACGGCAAGGGTGTATAATTTATTATTACACTATGGAATATCATCTTTTAATGTAATTTGTGTAGTAAATGCCACAAATTACAGAGATGCTATTGCTGAGGTCAACAGGGGTTACATCTTTTGAAGCTGGGACCCCCACAGAGGTCAGATGACAGAAGGGGTAGTATGAATGGCACAGGAATGTGAAAAGGATTTTACTATATGGATGTGAAGTAATCAATGATCTGCAAGGTGTGAGGTTCTACACTTGGAAAAAGTCTGAAAGTCTCTTCATCCATTTGGCATGTACCTTGTAAAGGATAGTTCAATCATTTGAAATGGTAATGGGATTAGTTTCATGAAGATCCTTGTGTTCCAGTATCTTATCCAATTGAAACATTCATACTTACCCACAGGTTAATAATTAAGCCTCATTTTTATTATATTTGGAATGGGACAAGCCCAATCTTTTAATTAAGCCCAAACATGAGTTGCACAACTTAAACCGTGTGGCAGGACTTGTGATGTCCGTCCTATTGGATCGTGGGCGGGGCGTGCAACATGTCTTTGGAATGGGAAAACAATAACAAATTCAAAAAGGAAATTATTATTTCTGTGGCAAGTACAGTAGAGGAGATAAAACCAAAAGTTTGTATGTGACATGTTGTTTTCTGGAACAAAGGAGGTGGTCACTTAGTATCCACCCCTGGATGACATTAACAGCATATTGACACAAGTAAAGCCAAAACATATCCACACTGCTAGACATCTTAGGATGCAATTTGCTTTGCTAATGCCCTCTAATAATACCTTAAAGAGGTGTACTGTTTTAAATCCATCTATATTACTTCTGCTAGGTTTAACCCCTTAAGGACCAAACTTCTGGAATAAAAGGGAATTATGACATGTCACACATGTCATGTGTCCTTAAGGGGTTAAAAGAGGGGAGTGGTTATATGGCTAATACGAACTTATTTATAAACTCTTTAACCTCTGATGAAATAGCAGAAGCCCAGGTACCCCATGATTGTGCTGCCTTGATGGCACAAGAAACTGCAGAAACTGTTGTTGATGGCACAAGAAACTGCAGAAACTGTTGTTGATATGCCATTATCTAATCCAGATTTTTAGTATTTTGTAGATGGGTCTCGGTTTGCTGATGAGAAGGGTAACTTCCATACTGGATATGCTGTAATCTCTGTACATGAGGTAATTAAAGCAGAACCACTTGCTCCTCGCTGCTCTGCATAAGAAGCTGAGTTGAAGGCTCTCACTGAAGTGGGTAAATTGGCCTCAGGTAAGACCATTAATGTTTATACCGATTCCCGCTATGCCTGTGTTTGCCCATGGACCTACACAACAATCAAAAATGAATATGATAAGCTTGGTAAATGCACATTGGATTGTTCCAGGTTTCACTGTAGCTGCTACAAAACATACCCAAAGCTGCATGATTTGTGCAAGATACATTGTAGGTCAGGTAACCCAGTCTAAACATATGCCAAGGTCACTTTACCCATTTCAGAGATAGGAGTGTATGTGTTGGTGTGTATTTATCTCTTTTCAGGTTGGCCTGAAGCATACCCATTATTGAAGGCCAAAGTAAAATCAACAGCAAGTAAGCTACTAAAGGAATTTCAGTAGCCATTTTACTGGTGAAATAATGCAAGAGATTATGCAAGCCCTAGGAATTATTCAGGCATTCACACCCCAAACCACCCTCAAAGTAGTGGCAAGGTAGAAAGGGCAAATTGTACTTGTACTGAAAAATAAAATAGCTAAAGCTATGCAAGAGACTGGCAAACTTTGTACGGAGTGTCTGCCTCTAGTATTATTTTCTATGAGATTCACACCACATCCTAGAACTCAAATTCGTAAAAAGAGAGAATGGTATGACACTCTCCTAGGAGCTTCCTAAATGCTGTAGACCTAGAAGTAGTGAGAAACAAGATAGCTGGGGCTGGCAAGGATGTGGATAGCACCCTACAGCTTGAAGCACAATGGATGCCCTCCATGTTTCTCCCACAAGAATATACTTTACAAACTAAACTTATTAATCTTAAGGCAGCTCAATCTCGACCTAGTTCGACACTTATTTACCAGCTCATGCCTGGATCAAATTAGATACTGAATCCCAGGTGTGTAATCAGACAAGTTGTACAGGCAAATTCAAAGCTTATGACATGAAGCAATATAAGATAAGATGTGTAAATTTCTGGTACTACCTGTCATTTTTGTTCCACCCTTATATCCAGCCCAATATTGGACTCCTACATTTTCAGGTGACCTGATAGACACTAAAAACATTACCCACCGTAGCTCAAATTGCATACAGTCTTCACTGGGACTAATATGCGGCCAATCCTCCAAGATTGAAGAACCATGTATGCTACAACATTCTGTAAATGTGTGTGACTGGACAGTTACTACAGGACCACTAGATATGTATATGGAAATTGCACCTTTATATATTATCATTATAAGCTCTTAACCAGATACCACATATATGTGTCACGGTTCGCACCGTGCCATAGAGACAGCCAGGCATGGCCAGGTGGCTCTAGGGGGATTTTAACTGTAGTCCTTTTGTACTTTGGTGCTGCTGTATTGCCTCTGAGTCACACTTCAGCTCATTATTCAGCCTAATTGTCTATATTGCCTTGACCTGTCTGCAGAATTGAGGGCTGGTATCTGGTTATATGCTTAGCCAGACTCACCTGTCTAGATTAGCCAGCTGTCACTCAGGATTACCTAGAACACCCCGCTTGTTAGTAACTTGTTAACAGGGTATTGAATCTCCACCTTTTTCAGTAATCATTGTCAGTTCCTTGTTTCTGGTTGAAGTATGATTCCTGTTATTTTGTCTCCTGAGCTTGTATTCTCCAGACTGACCCTGGCTTCTGATTTTGGCTCCTCTCCTCGTTATTTCTGACCTCTGGCATCCTCTGACCACGGCTACACCTTGACTATCCTTTTGCTTGTGCCCTTGCCTGTACTACGAATTGGAGCACTTTTCCTGTCAAGGCCACGGATTCACAGCCCAGGTGGCTTCTTACCTGGTTACCGTGGGCTTTGTTTATCTGCAAGGGTGAGCGTACATCTCTGCACTTCGGACTCCCACCTCCAGGTAAGACCCTGACAATATGCTAAATGTCTCTACCCTGTTTGTGGGATGCTTCAGGAACCTCACCATGCATAAGGGGTTCAACACAACCATTAACTTCATCCCAGATGCCAAACTTACCATCACTTCCACTTGGCATCCCCAAGCTCTGGACTTTAAACCACAATCTGTTTCCCTTCAACCTCTCATTGACATTATTAATGACACCCATCATATGGCAAGACATCTAAATATCATGAATCAATCTCTACATGAAACAAAGAAACTAACAATTATAGTTCCTATAAAACTTCACAGTATTGGAAATAACATGGGGTGTTGGTTAATGAAGACCAGAAAAAGGCAGACATTTAAAATAACTATTTCTCCTCTGTATATATTAAGGAAGAGATATGCAAATGATTGCAGGAAAAAAAAAAAAAGGAGAAAAATTTTAATTGGCTAACTCAAGACAAAGTGCTGCAGCAACTAATTAAAGTAAATATAAACAAAGCTCCAGGTGCCGGACGGTATTCAGCCACGAGTTCTTAAGAAATTAAGTGTGGAAATAAGTGAACCTCTTGTTTTTAATCTTTCGATTTTCAGCCAATCGGATTTGTAAAGGGCTTATTTAAGCACAATTTTACTTTTCCTCCTTGCCCTGTTGTGGTTTCCCTGGTGGTTGTCCGAGAGTGTGTTTCTGAGCATTTATTTTCTGGTTATTGACATTGGCTTTGTTTAACTTCCCTGTATTCTGGTATCCCTGACTTTTGGCTTTCCCTCATCGTGGTGTCTCCTTCTGTGTCCCTGACCTCGGCTAGTATACTGACTATTCTTGGGTATGTTTAGTCCAGCCATTCTGAGGCCCAGTAAGACGTTACCTTTCAGTCCTGGACTGAAAAGGTGTGACATAATTCTACGTGCTGGATCAACTAGTAATCCTGACAGTTCCGGTGGATTGGAGGAAGGCGGATGTGGTTCCTATATTCAAAAAGGGTTCAAATCATTGCCTGGAAATTACAGACATGTGAGCTTAACTTATGTGGCTGAAAAAGTATTTAAAAGGTTATTAAGGGATAATATTCAAAAATTCCTTGAGAAGAACATGGTTATCAGCAAAAACAGCATGGTTTTATGAAGCACAGGTCATATCAAACTAACCTGATTGCATTACGAAGAAGTAAGTAGAAGTATAGAGCAGGGTGTTGCAATGGATGTGGTCTATTTGGATTTTGCCAAGGCGTTTGATACAGTTCCACAAAATAGGTTAGTGTTCAAACTCCTAACCCTACTCCTTAACCAACCCTAACCCTACCCCTAACCCAACCCTACCCCTAAACCCTACTCCAAATGCTAACCCTACTCCTAACCCTACCAGTAACACTACTCCTAACCCTACCCCAACAAGTCACTTTTCAGAATTCCGAAGCACTTCGGCACTTCAGCAATTCGGTTCGGCACTTCTGAAATTTGGCACATCGACACTTGGGAAATTCGGCATTCCAAAATTCGGCACTTCGGCCATTCATAAGCATCTGAATGTCCGAAATTCGGCCAAATTTCAATTCGGGCTGAACCGAATTACACATGTCTAGAAATCAGCCTATATGTAAATTCTTGCTTTTGGGTAGAACATTGGCTTAAAAATAGAATACAGAGATTTGTCATAAATGGTGCATTTTTCAAGCTGGACAGAGGTGGCATGTGGTGTCCCTCAGGGTTCTGTTTTGGGACTTCTTTTTAACATGTTTAAATGATCTTAAAAAAAGCATTGAAAGTCATGTTTCAGTGTTTACAGATGACACCAAACTCTGTAAAGTAATGCAGAGGGATTTGGATAGATTGGGGGACTGGGCACTAAAATGGCAGATGAAATTTAACATAGAGAAATGCAAAGTACAAGCAACTTACACACTAAATGGTAGTGAATTAGGGATAACCACAAACGAGAAGGATTTGGGAATTGTTATAGATAACAAATTAGGCAGCAATATGCAATGTCAATCTGCAGTTGCTAAGGCCAATAAGATTTTTGTCATGTATAAATAGGGGCATAAATTTTCGGGATGAAAATAATACAATGTGAGCAAGATATTACTTTGCTGCAGAGGGATTTAGATACACTGGGGGACTGGGCACTCAAATGGCAGATGAAATTTAATGTAGAAAAATGCAAAGTTATGCACTTCGGTGTCAAGAGTGCACAAGCAACGTTTACCCTTAAAGGAAGAAAATTAGAGCTAACCACACACGAGAAGGACTTGTGCAATGTCAATCAGCAGTAGCTAAAGTCAGTAAGATATTGTCATGCATGAAAAAGGGTATTACTTCTCGGGATGAGAATATAATTTTGCCTCTTTATAAATCACTGGTAAGACCACATCTTGAATATGCTGTGCAATTTTGGGCACCTGTTCTAAAGAAGGATATTATGGCACTAGAAAGAGTGCAAAGGCGGCCCACAAAATTAATAAAAGGAATGGAACATTTTAGCTATAAAGAAAGGTTAAAAAAATGTAAACCTCTTCAGTTTAGAAAAAAGTCGCCTGAGAGGGGATATGATAACATTATACAAATATATTCTTGGGGTAGGGTGAGGTCCTCACTGGAGCAAATATGCAGGGTGCCAGGCAGAAATAAGTAAAATAATTAAAGGAAATGTGGCACAAATTTATGTAAAAAAAAATAGCCAATATTCCTTTTATTAACAAAAAAACTAATTTAAAAATTCGCCTGGCAAACAAAGGTTTATATAGGAAGTAACATTCATTGCAATTTAGAATTTTGATGCCAAAATGACGCCATCAGAACGAGACGATCAAATAAAATTTCAATTGTATAAAAACATCTTTCACTAATATGTACTGTAAGGGCATATGGCAAAGATGTGTAAAATATAAATAACAAAACAAAGCTGTAAACTAGTTAAAAAGCTAGGCTGAAAGTGAATCACATGACGCGCAACTGCTGTTCCGCGTCAGGTGACTTGTGCTGTAATTTATGGGAAATGTAGGCTGGCACTGTAGTGTGTGCTTCTATATTGAAATCGTGCGCCGCGACGCATCATTGCACATTGTGCTTGCACACTTACACATGCGCCGCGGCACGTATTTGTGCATCACGCATGCACCAGCACTGCATGCGGTTGTGATATCAGCAAACTGAATGCCCATATTAAGGGGGGTCCAGAGACTGGGACGTTACGTATTTGGCCAATGGAGGGTTTGGGAAAATATTAACAGCCATATTGTTGGAGACTTTTAGGAGTTGGAGATAAGGTGAAATACAAATAGAAAAATAAATAAACAAACAGTGAAAAACTGTTTAAAGAGAATTAACTAATGATAATACTATGACCATATTAGTTAAAATCCCAAATTGAGAGGGGATTTTACATTAACAAAAAAAGAAAATAGTAAAAATGTGTAATAAAGAAACAAAAATGAAAGTATATATAAAAATAAAAATAATATAAATTAAAAAAAATATATATATATATATATATATATATATATATATATAAATAAACATGAAAAATAACAATAAAATAAATGAAATTAAAAGAAAAGAAAAGATGGATGTACAAAACAGATCTGGAAAATGACTCTGGGTTAGATGTATTAATATGATTAACATAATTCTGAAGATATATATTATAAAAAATGTAAAAAGGTAGAATTCAAATTCTATATAAAGGCTTTCTGGGACAAGGGTTTTTAAATTAAATACCCATTCCATTTGTTTACTCCCTAAGATTTTTTTGATGTCACCACCTCTCTGTGGAATTTTACATTTATGGATACTGATACACTTTAAGAGTTTCGGATTTTTATTGTGTGTGACAAAATGTTTAGACACAGAGTGATTTTCATAGCCTTTGGTGATGTTACGGCAGTGTTCAGCTAATCTTATTTTTAAACATCTGGAGGCCAAAAGGTATATGAATTTTTTTTGTATTGCATCCAATGAAATCAGTTTAGATGTATTTTAGATGTATAGTGCATGGTTTGACTATTTTGTGCAATCAGGGTCAGTGCTGCACAACCCTTGTCATGAGGAATGATCGTGTACAAGGATTGAACATTGCAGGTGACTAAAATATAATTTGGTTGCCAAATTAACGTATTTAACCCCTTAAGTAAAAAGAACGTATCAGGTATATCCGACAAGAAACGGTCCTTAAAGGACCACTCTAGGCACCCAGACCACTTCAGCTTAATGAAGTGGTCTGGGTGCCAGGTCCTTCTAGGGTTAACCCATTTTTTTTATAAACATAGCAGTTTCAGAGAAACTGCTATGTTTATGAATGGGTTAAGCCTTCCCCTAATCCTCTAGTGGCTGTCTCATTGACAGCCACTAGAGGCGCTTGCGTGCTTCTCACTGTGATTTTCACAGTGAGAGCACGCCAGCGTCCATAGGAAAGCATTGTAAATGCTTTCCTATGCGACCAGCTGAATGCGCGCGCAGCTCTTGCCGCGCGTGCGCATTCAGCCGACGGGGCGGAACGGAGGAGGAGAGAAGGAGGAGAGCTCTCCGCCCAGCGCTGGAAAAAGGTAAGTTTAAACCCCTTTCCCCTTTCCAGAGCCGGGCGGGAGGGGGACCCTGAGGGTGGGGGCACCCTCAGGGCACTGTAGTGCCAGGAAAACGAGTATGTTTTCCTGGCACTATAGTGGTCCTTTAAGGACCGTGGATGTACCGGATACGTCCACGGGGAATTAGAGCGCCAGAAGCGATCAGGAACACTTCCAGCAGCTCTAATGGTATTGCAGCGATGCCTTGATGTCTAGGCATCGCTGCAATACCCCCTCACTGCCGATGGCTACCGGAGAACACCGGGTGATCACTCCCCCCGGAGTGATCACTTCTGGGTTGCTCCACATGGAGCCCGGCAGTGACGCAGAGCATCGGAAGACATCAGTCTGGCTTCCGATGCTCTGCCTATGCTGAGTGCCTCGAGGGGTCGAAGCACTCAGTAAATATTTTTTTAATTACAGATTGCCACCGTTCCCCCGCCGGCGATCTGTCTTCTTCTTAGGAGGGACTCTCTGGGCTGAGCCAAGAGAGTCCCCCCCTTTGCAATTTAGGACCACATGACCGCAATAGGTGTCCGCAGTGCTGCCAGCAGGGGGGCTGCCGAACTAGACCCCTTGTATTGGAAAAAAATAAAAGGTAATAAATAATAATAAAAAAATAAATATATATATATATATATATATCTTATATAAAACGTCATACTAAGTGTATTTTTTATTAATATATACATTAAACGTACACTTAGAGTAAAATTACACACTTATATATGTAATATATATATAAGAACTATATATATTGTGTGTATATATATATTTTTAAAAATTATTAAAAATAAATGAAAAGCTGTAAAAATAATTTAAAAAAAATTATATATATGTAATTTTATTCTAACTGTATTTTGATATATATATATATATATATATATATATATATATATATATATATATATATATATATCAAAATACACTCCTGACACAAAAATTGTCATTAAGGACCGCAGACGTACCTAGTACGACCGCGGCAAATAGGAGCCTTGGACTTACCCGGACCAGCGATCACGGTCGGGGGGGACTGCCAGAGACCCCAGCAGTCCCCCTGCAGCAGCTCCGGCCACCCCGGTACTCCAGGGCCATGTGATCCCCATGATCACATCGCCGCAATAAGAGTCTAGGAGCTGCCGGGGAGCTCAGTCTGAGCTGTCAGACAGTCCCCAAGGCTGCTAAAAAAAAAAAACAACACACGAGGGTCGTGGCCACGGCACCGATGAGACTGGCAGCTTGAGAGCCAATCTCTGTCCGTGACAGAGGTTTAATAAGCAAAACCTGGCGATTAACTCAGCAATGACGACAACAAAAACAACGCAACACTACGGGGACACCTCGACATCCGAGAACCCCACATCAAAGACCTCTCTGAGGAGATTCTTCACAGAACACGCTGAACCGCAAACGCGCAGCAAAATGGCGCCCGTGACTACCACACGAGGCAGTCAACCATCCAGCCCGTCTGCCTCTGAGGACTCGGTAGAAGATGCTGATATCAAAACATTACTCACAGAACTGCCCTCGAAGAAAGACCTGGCTGACATGTTCCAGAGACTGGAGAATTCCTTCAGCGAAAAATTACAAGCTGTAAATGCAGACATCCAGCAACTGGGAACCAGGGTACAGGCCCTAGAGGATGCGGAGGAGCTCTCTGAAAGACAGTGGTCGGAGTGCCACACTACACAGAAGCTTCATTCAGAAGCTTTAATACATCTGCAACGGAAACTGGACGATGTGGATAACCGGGGAAGGCGCAACAACTTGCGGGTAGGAAGAGTACCAGAAAGCCAGGAAGGCTCTACGGAAAACCCCATACAGGTACTAACTACCCTCTTTAACCTCATACTCGCTAGACCACCCGACACAGCGATCCAATTCGACAGGGCTCACAGAGCAGCACGGCCCAGAAACTCACCATCGGACTGGCCCCGAGACCTTATATACCGCCTACACAACTTCCCCTTAAAAGAAGAAATTTTCCACAAGGAAAGGCAGAATAAGGACCTGAACCTTGAAGGCCAACCTGTAGCAGTATATCAGGATCTCTCACCCACTACACTGCAGTCCAGAAGGGCGTTAAAACCCATCACCACGGCACTCTTAGAGAAAATAATAAAATTCAGCTGGAATTACCCATTTGCACTCTCAGTGGTGACCCTGAACGGACCGCACACCATCACAACCCCAGCAGACATTCCAAGCTTCCAACAGGCCCTGGGCCTACCCCTCACCGAAGTGGTAGATTGGACAGGTCTATCATCTGGTGATTACACTCAAATGCAAAAAAGACCCAAATGGCAGAGAACGCCGAGGAAGCGCAGACGGCAGAACCAAATGGGAGCAGAAACACCCACTACACAGCATGAACAGCCACACATATCCTTTGCTGTATCTAATTTAAAAGCTGAGGACTCTCACCACCTCAAGTTTTCTAGATAAGTTTAAAAATGTTTAGCTTAAATATTTAAACGATGTTATTGCCACAAAATTATTCTTGTTATTTACCAACCGTCTCATACAGCCCTCAATAGTATGAGTACAAGTAATCGCTTAAGGTCAAAAGGGCATATGAATGTGCGGGTCCGGGTATATTCAAAGGGATACAGGGATAGACCCAAGTACAGGGAATTTTGATTCAAGCCCCTGGTACCCCGATTACCTTCTGTACCTCAATCACGCACCCCTTGCCGCAGAAGAACTGTCACCAACCCCCACCAGAGAGGCGCTTACAACTACTTGGGGACACGACTGAGTCTCCCCTTCCCACCCTTCTCCCCAGATACAATCCCCGTAGCCCTGCACCAATACCATCGTTTCTCGAGTAAAAACGACTATCTCTATTATGATGGCAAAACTTAAATGAATGTCCCTGAACGTGAGGGGTCTAAACTCCACAGAGAAAAGAAGTACACTTACACAGGAAATTGACAGGCAGAGAGCCAATATCATATTTATCAAGGAAACGCACTACAGAGGCGATTTCCAACCAAGGCTTAGATCTCAAAATATCTAACAATCATACTATAGTAACTATAGCAACAGCAAATCCAGAGGTGTGGCGATATTAGTAAATTCCTGTGCAACCCTCATTGAAACCAGTGTCAAGGTAGATCCGGGATTTTTATTTGTTAAGGGGAAATGACAGGGCTTAATGATCACTCTCGCAAACATATACACACCAAACTCAGACCAGGGCTCCTACGCCCGAACATGTCTAACTAAACTAGAAAAGTTTGCGGAAGGAATTGTGATAGTGGGAGGTGACTGGAACATGGTCCTCGACCACTCGATGGACAGCTCCTCTAGTACTGCAGACAGCAGGCGCCATCAGCGAACCATTCTGGCAAATGCGCTTCACTCCCATCAATTAATGGACTGCTGGCGTCTGCTCCACCCGCAGGATAGGGATTATACTTATTATTCCCCAGTGGTGAAAAGCTACTCAAGAATTGATATGTTTCTCCTGAGCCACAGACACCTCCCCATAATGGAAGGGGCCAGCATAGGTAACATCACATGGGCAGACCATGCCCCTATATATCTGACCATAACTCTACGGGATGCCCCCACACACACTTCACACTGGCGTCTCAATGAGACCCTTCTAGGGTCCTAGAAGACATGAAAAAGACTCTAAGTGACTATTTCATAGACAATACCTCAGCAGACACATCGGATGCATGGGTCTAGGAAGCTCAAAGGGGTCATTAGAGGAGTCTTGATAAAATGGGGCTCTAGGATTAAGAAGAAAGAACACTCAAACCGGACACCTTATCGAACGCAATACGAGCAAGAAACACTACACAAGAACAACCCTACCCAAAATGCCTTTCAAAAGCTAATGGCCCTTAGAATGGAGATTCGTTCTCTCCTGTCACTAAAAGCACATAGATCGCTCCAAGAAGCTCATTTTATACATATGGGAACAAGAGCGGGAAATTACTGGCCCGTGCCTTGAAGGCCAAACTCAAAAAATCATTTATAGCTGTAAGCATATGAAATAGTTAACTTTTCTTGTTCATATGTATTTTATGCTTAGATAAGGTTTATAATCATTAGTGCTGACTGTAAGGACATGAAATGGTTAACTATTTTTGCTTTATATGCTTTAAAATATTGTTTGAAATAATTATGCTGACTTTGGCAGATGTATTTTGTACCAAGGTCTTTCGTCTACAGGATGTATGACATTGCTTAACCTCAGGATGTTCCTGTCCTGTCTTTATTCAAATGCTTATCTTTTTAATGTCAGACAAGTATGTACTATTAACTATAAAGAAACGATAAATCTCACTGCTTGCGTGACAAATTGTGTATAAATGCTAGCCCTGAAAATACACTCATTGAGAACTTGTTAAGCACTCTTTCGTGTCTGTGTCTTAATTTGCTCACAAGAACTCCCATCAATTGATGTGGTGACCGGAGGATCGAGAATCGAGAGGAGTTGAGTCCAGAACAGCATTAACCCTTTCAGCTTGGTGTCATGAAGTGGGATCAGCAAAACCATTGGGTAAGTAGTCTTTTTGTGTCTTATTGACGCTGATTGTCTATGACCCCCTTTGGTTCAGTAAGTCTGTATCCAGTAGAAAGGAAAGGTGTAAGGACTTTATTGAGACTGTAAATAGGTCTCCGGTTTATTAGACAATTGGTCTAAATATATATAGGGTTTTGGTAACCCAGGTTAGTATCTAAGATAGATACAGGGTATCTCAGCTGGATACAGGGTATATCAGCTGGATACAGGTTTTGAGACCATAAGAGTTCTCCGGTTTAGTAAGACTATAGGTGTTCTGAGGAGCATGGTTTATAGATCTATAAGTATACCCCAAACTTCTCTTTCTCCTGGTCACCTTTGTTTGTCTTAAGTGTTCTTTGTGGGTGATTGTCTATATTGGGGACACACTTTGGTAAGTTAGTAGTGTGTCTGCCCTGAGTCAGCAGTATGGAAAATGTGAGTTCAGGTCCTGAGTGACCAATATATATATATATATATATATATATATATATATATATAATACCAGTACTGTATATTAGAAAATAACTGACTCACAGGTTGTACCTGATAGACCTACTTAAATCTTTTGCTTTATTCTTTGTCGCATAGAAGTATAGTTTATTACTCTGTTTTATTGCAAGTTATTTCACATGGGATATGTGTGCCTGGTATGATTGTTACTTTAATACCATAAGCCCACTACACTTTCTATGAGAGTGGGATAGTGTAAATGTGTTACATTGTTTGCATGATGAGCTCAGTATTTTTATAACTGAGACAAAAAGTCACTTCATTAGTATTTGAAAGTTAATTCCCTGTATGAAACATAGAAACATAGAATGTGACGGCAGATAAGAACCATTCGGCCCATCTAGTCTGCCCAATTTTCTAAATACTTTCATTAGTCCCTAGTCTTATCTTATAGTTAGGATAGCCTTATGCCTATCCCACGCATGCATAAACTCCTTTACTGTGTTAACCTCTACCACTTCAGCTGGAAGGCTATTCCATGCATCCACTACCCTCTCGGGTAAAGTAATACTTCCTGATATTATTTTTAAACCTTTGTCCCTCTAATTTAAGACTATGTCCTCTTGTTGTGGTAGTTTTTCTTCTTTTAAATATAGTCTCCTTTACTGTGTTGATTCACTTTATATATTTAAATGTTTCTATCATATTCCCCGTGTCTCGTCTTTCCTCCAAGCTATACATGTTAAGATCCTTTAACCTTTCCTGGTAAGTTTTATCCCGCAATCCATGAACCAGTTTAGTAGCCCTTCTCTGAACCCTCTCTAAGGTATGGGATTAATTGTATAGAACACCAATCAGCACATCTTCCCTGCCCTGTGTGTTTGTTGCAGAGGATCCATACTGTAAATATGATTTTTGTTTGTAAATAAGAGAGCAACATTTACATTTTCAGTGGTCCAACACATGCTTCATTTTGTGCTGTAAGCTAACCTTTTTTATTGCTACAGATGCTTTAAATGATCCAGCTATTGCATATGTTTTGTGTCTTCTATGTCTCACATTATATGTGATCTTTTAAATTGTGGTCTATAGCCTGAATCAGAGATCATGGACAAAGGTTTCTACCTGTGTTACTAAGGCTCTTGGAGACTGACCGGTCTAAGGTTTGCCATGCCTTTTAACATGGTATAGTATACATTTTTTAAGTCTCTGAGAGTTCTGAAAGATTCGGGTGAAACCATGTCTGTGTAATCTGGTCCAGATGTTTGCACAATTTCTGTAAGATTTAAAATTGATGCAGCATCATCTCAGATTAGTTAATGGAAATTTCATACAAATATTTGAGTTATGAGCGCGCTATATAAATGGATCCTTTCTTTATATACAGTACTATAGTAGATTAAAGTAATGATGTTAATTAAGAAAAAAACATGTATGCATAAGAATTCCTAAAATAAATCTAATACAAACTAAAATTGGTATACCTTACAATAATATGTTCTGAGTACAGCTGTTAACTGTTTATTCTGTGTAAATGGTGATTGTGATAATGTGTGAAGTGTGCAGCTTAAATTTATATGTTGCTGTGTTGTTTTAAATTATATTTGAATCAGTTTGTCTGAGTCTAGTGATACTGATACAAATGCCAGTCAAATAACCTAGCAAATAACTGTTTTATTAGCTGTTGAATACTAGCGTTTTGGCCAAGAGTAGTTGGAGTTGGAGTAGTTCTATGAGCTCAGAGAGGCTCTATGTTAAGACTGCTTTCATATTGTGTCTACCCGTGTTTCTTAGGAGGGACACAGAGTGTGTAGTTGCATGTCCAAGAATGTGTTTTTCTGTATTGGCATATCTGCTACGTCTGTTTTGTGAGATGTCTGTTTTGTGAGATGACATGTAATATTACATTGGATGCTGAGTATGAGTTATATGGTTTGAAATGAATTGGTGTGTTATGTGTTTCATGTATTTTATTGTCCATTGTGTAGGAGTTTAACTAGCAGGGTGATTTGCATATCATTAACGCAAGCATTTAGTGTTTTTACAAAAGGTGAAATGCTGTCCAGCCGGCTAGAATGAAACAATTGTGTGCTATCGCTCCTGGAGCAAGAAAAGCGCTTGTTACATCCCACATGAAAGGGGCCCCGCAAACTTCTGCTGTTCAAATTGTGGATCCACGTTTCCATTTGCAAACTGATTAATCCTGAAAGTCATTATTTTACTGATAAAAAGGATTGAATGGACAAGATGTCTCTCCCTCATAAAGGTGTTCTAATAGGGGAGTATTGTCCAGCTCAGAGTTAACTCTACTTTTAAAGTATATCGCATTGTTTGTGTCAAAGTAAGATGCATCTAGTATGCCTCATTGGTTATGGGGTAATAATAAAATGGTATTTTTAATAGAGATTAGAAAATTTCTGAAATTTATAAGTGAGGTAATCTTAATCTCCTAAAACTACTGTATTATATTTGTATGGGTAAATTGAAAGCATTTTGCAGATCCAGAAGAGGATAAATAAATAATATAATAATCTCACTAGGTGCCAAATTATGCAAAGAGGCTATCCAAAGTACGCACTAACGGGTTAACTTGTTTTCTTGATAAGCGTATAACATTTAGTTTTGTGGTTAGACTTTTGATACTCAATTTGAAATATGTCCCAACTACATCCTTGCACAGCCCCAGGTACAGGAAGCAATGTGTTTTAAAAATTTGCAAAGTCTTAGTGTTTTCAATATATTATAATAATGGAAAAGTACCTAACCGCATGTCTGCATTATGCTCATGACACAGACTGTCAGTATTGCAAGCCCTATATGAAGGCTATGCTTTCATTGTCAATGTAAACACCCCTAGACAACCTTGCTTTATATGCACAATTTAACTATCCATTAAAGTTTAAAAGCTTATTAATATTATATCTGTGTGGTACACAAAGAGGGGGTGTGAGTTCGGTAATCCCGACATGCATATGGAATATGCTTCCTCCTTGTTCACTTTTGTTCCTTGCTGGTCTGTGACTGGCCCTTTTTGACCCCAAATGAATTTCTTGGGAAGATTCATGAGAAAGATACAGCAAGTTGTTTTGATAGAAAGAAAGAATGAAAAGGTATGATGTATCAGTCACAAGGACTGTGATCCTAAGCAGGCGCGACAAAGAGATTTGGGAGGTGATAGGAGATTGAATCAGAAAAATTTTAAAGGCAAAGGTAGAGGATTTGGTCAAAGGGTCTAACTTTTGTAGAGGTAGCAACTTCAGCATTGGTGGAACGCACAGTTCTAATTGTGGATAGCAGGGTCACTGGATAAATGAGTGCCCAAACCCACCCCCACAGATTCCTCAATACCAACCACAGCCAACAATCCCAGCCTAATACACAGATGGTTCATGTTTTTAATATTTTATATAGTTTTAGGTGTTAATCTAAAAGTATTGAATTATTTGGGATTATTAGTAATTAATTTTGAGTATCAAATCAAGATTCAAGTTTAGGAAGAGAGTTTTATTGGGAATGTATATGTATATGTTAGTGTTTTAATATTCATCCTAACAAGCATTTCTATAGCGTGAGTGCTTCTCTCATCCGTACAAAGGCATTCCAAAGGGATATTATGTAAAACTTCATAGAAGACAGATTGCATAAAATATAAGCAAATAAAAGAGAAGTACATGTTACACAAGTTAAGGGTTTAACCTTAATCTCTAATTTAAGTTTTAGCCTAGGTAATTAATTAATTGATGTTGTATTGATCATTGTGTTTGTATGATTGTAGAGACCGTCCTGGAGTGTTTGTGCCGCCTGATTTCTGGAACTACACATCAATCTCTCCGGCTGACCATGCAATAAGTATTTTGCAATTACATCTGTTTGGTCATTATCCATGCAGGCCGAAGAAACTGAGATACTTATGAAGACATAAACTTTGCACACAAGAACCTGGAAAGTCCTGAAGGTGCAGTGCTGTCTAATACCGCTGGTTCTGTAATAACTCTTTCAACCATTGGGGTATTGCACAGAGCATTGTGGTGAAAATCCAGCAAACAGAAGAAGAACTATGTGGAAGCTGACATTGTCTTGTTGTCAGCCATATTGCTACCCTAGCCATTTTATGGAACAAAATGTCTGGTGTCTAAACTGATTTCTTTATACTCTGTGAAAGATTTAATTTATTTTTCTGAACTATGCTGAACTATTGAACTATTTTTATTTTTACTTATGTAGAGTTAACCGGAGGGAGAGGAAGTGTTAGCTGACCCAGGGATGGATGTACTATGTGTGTTTTTGATATATGTTGAGTGTGCCAAGGATGGATTCCCATGTTTTGAGGAACTGTGTGAGGATATGACTGGTTTTGACTGGTCCTTTGGAATAGGGAAATGGTTAAAAAATATAGGGCGCAAGGTCCTGGTTGTGATTATTGTTAGAATTTCAAGCTAGATTATCATTTATCTCATGAATTAATATGTAAGAAGTGTTTCCCAATTCCTCCCGATACCCAAGCTATGTACTCACAGGTGCGGGTATCATAAGTCACAAGTGGTGTCAACTGTGAGGGGATCGCGGCCCCCACTGTGTTTTTTCTTCAAATATTAGTTTTTTGCCAGGCCCCAGATCATTGGATGGACTGGTAATCCTAGACCCCGGTGCCTGGACGTGGGATAGGTATTATTCCCACTTTGACTATATGCGCCCACTTCCATGGACGAAGGAGGAAAACAACTGTTGGGAATAATACAATTTGCCCATATTTACCCAGGGCTTAGGATACAGATGACAGGTTGGTTAGTCTGTTTAAAATTGGTTAACATGTCAGCTGTTTGCAATAATACATTTGCTATAAGCCCAAATTCAATCTTTTGTGTCTGTGTCTTAATTTGCTAACAAGAACTCCCATCAATTGATGTGGTGACCGGAGGATCGAGAATCAAGGGGAGTTGAGTCCAGAACAGCATTTACCCTTTCAATAGCTAGAATTAAAACTAAAATGGGGACACACTGCCACACCACCAAAGACATAGCGGAAGCATTCCACGACTTCTATCACACCCTTTATAATCTTGCCCCCCCAGAGGGAATACCCTATGATATACAAAACTATTTAACTGCACACATAGCCTCCAAGCACTGGAGGAGCCATTCTCTCCTGCGGAGCTGTCCCTTGCCATCAAAACAATGCCAAAAGGCAAAAGCCCAGGCCCAGACGGTCTAACTGCACGATACTACCAAACTCTAGCTGGGGAACAACACTTTCTTAAAATGATTAATGGGATGGGACCGAACTCCTCACTGCCTCCACCGATGCTGAGAGCATCGATCACCATCATCCCCAAACCTGGGAAAGACCCTGAGGTTTGCGGCAATTACAGACCCATCTCCCTTATTAATTTGGACCTCAAACTCATAGCCAAATTAATTGCCAACCATATCAAACCTCTACTTCCACAACTGGTCCACCCTGAAAAAGCAGGCTTTATGCCCGGGCGCGAAGCCAGGGACAACACCGTGTAATACACGGAGCAAACGCGACTAACACGCCGACTCTGCTGTTGGGTATAGATGCAGAAAAGGCCTTTGACAGGGTGGAGTGGACATATCTTTTTAAAGTGAAAGAAGGGCTAGGATTTGGACCAAAACTGAGAAATTGGATACAGACCCTACATAGAGGGCCAACAGCCAGGGTTGGAGTGAACGGACAACTGTCCACCCCCTTCCCAATAAGTAACGGGACCTGGGAGGGCTGCCCGCTGTCGCCTCTTTTGTTTGTACTAGCAGTAGAGCCCTTTCTGACAGCCATCTGTAACAACCCCAGAATCCATGGATACCAGTACCCCGGGGAAGAGATGAAGGTCTCCGCATTTGCGGACAATATTCTTTTTTCCATCACAGACCCGATGAACACTCTCCCACAGGTACAGTCAGAAATAGAAACATGCGGGGCCTTATCTAACTTCAAAATCAATTCCGACAAATGTGAGATCTTAGGGATTTCTGTACCCCAGCGCATGCAAACCCGCATTCGACAAAATTATAAATACACAAGGACGAAAACAGGACTAACATATATAGGAATACGCCTTACATCAACACAAAAAGGTTTATATACACTTAACTACCCTCCTCTAGGAGATAACATTAAACAAGATCTCAAAAAATGGGATATGCCCCATTTCTTCCTGATGGGTCGCATCAATATAATAAAGATGATGATCTTGCCAAGGGTTCTGTATATCTTCCAGGCCCTCCCTATCCCTCTCACACGAGAATTATTCATAATATCCTCAGGGTATGGAGAAGACATAAAAAGGAATGGAATCTTTCCCCGGGTATCTCCCCAGCTAATCCAGACTTTCAGAATGGCAACGGTCACACCACATTATCCCACCACATTATCCCGGCTACTGGGACCCCTAATCCCGATATCAGGGCACTTATAACAGGGGATCCGACCCCCAAACTTAAAGCACTCCCCAACTCAATAGACAAGAGACACTCCTAGACATCATGGGAAGGGTCCAATTGTCCAACTACCTGATGCAGTCGATCCTCCCCTTGTGGTGTGAGAGAGACACCATGTGAACGCATGAGCACCCAGGGAAACAAAACTAGACGCTCACTCTCGGCCATATACCGCATTCTCAATGCAGAGACAGGGAATCAATCCAGACCCACATTCCAAAGTAGATGGATGAGAGGCCTTCGCATACATATGACGGAGGAAGACTGGGCTCAGATTATGATCTCGGGGACTAAAACCCAGATTAGCATAGCACGAAAAGAAACCTTTTATAAGAGAGTCACTAGGTGGTACAGAACACCGGTACAACTACACTCATACTGGCCCGCAGTCAGTGACAAATGCTGGAAGTGTGGAGAAGAACAGGGTGACATGGAGCACATCTGGTGGAACTGTAGGGCAATAACACCATTCTGGACGCAAATACTAGATGAGATCACTAAAATCCTTACCCTGCAGACTCACTTGACACCATCCCAAGCTCTTCTGGGCTGGCCTCGATCATTCAAGGAGAAATGCAAACAGCAATTCCTGTCCTTACTTTTGGGAGAAGCAAATGCCCTGATACTTAGGTATTGGCGAGGTACCGACATACCAACTAGAGAACAATGGGTCCACCAAGTAGAAAAAATTTGAGAATTGGAGGAGATGCACTGGTCGACCCTAGGGAACAGAGGCAGGTACCTTAAGATCTGGGAGCCATGGCTCCCGTATTGGGGTAACACCCCTAAGACTTTAGTCTGCACCTCACAACAAGGGGGACAGTAGAAATGTACACAATGCCTCATGAAGCTATCTGAACCCCAACAGGTATTAGACTCATCATAACAGACTTTAAAGCAGCAGGACACCCCCCCTCAAATCCCTCCCCTCCCTCTTTTGAACACTAACCTAACCACACTTTTGAATTACTAAGCCACCTACACAACAGCGGAACTCCGAGCATTGGTTAAAGAGTCAAGTGGGGTAGACCATGTGATATGTTAGTGATTCCCAAAGTATTGTTACAATGTCTCCCACCTTGTTTTTTCTGTATCCCCTTATTTCTATATTCAAAACATAATAAAAAGATATTAAACAAAAAAACACCATATTATACATATATGTATAAAATATATCATAAAATTATTAAAATATTTTATTATATTATACATATATATGATTTCATTATAAGTGTACTTTGAGGTATATACACATATATCTAAAAATACACTTATAATGAAATCATATATATGCGTTATATGTATAATATATTATATAATGCTTTAATTATAATATATTATACATATATAGGAAATAAAAGTGTGTGTGCGTGTGTGTGTGTATTATATGCACACGTATTAAATGTATATGTGTGTGTGTGTGTATATATATATATAAAGCCAGTACATTGGGGGTATTGTTATACTCGGGAGACTTAGCTGAACACAAATATGAGTGTTTACAACAGTAAAACTTATCACGACAATAAAGTCACCGGTAAAAGAGCAGTTTTTGTAAAAAAAAATGCAAAAATCAAATAACTTTGGCCAGCATTTGTGACTAAGTGGCTACTACAAAAGACTGAAAATACCCTATTTGAAATACCCTGGGTTGTCTACTTTTACAAATGGTATGTCATGATTTGGTGAATTTTCATTCCTGGGCTGCTATGCGGTATCAAAGGCAACATAGGCCCAACAAACCAATCTACCAAATTTCAAAGTGCAAACATGGAAAAGGGGAAAGCCCTACATTTGACCCCTGTGAGTTTGCAAAAACCCATAAGACCTGTACACTGGGCACACTGTTGTACTCAGGAGATATTGCTGAACACATATTTCTGTGTTCTTTGTCAGTAACACATAACAGGAACTGAGAATCCATGTCTAAAATACAATGTGAGAGTAAAACAACACACAAAAATGACTTCCCAAAAGTTTAAAAAAGACTTGCAGAAGTCAGACTGCAGACTGTCAGAATTAATGCATGGAAAGTGTTAAAATACCACCATTTGAAATACCCCATGGTGTCTACTTTTCAAAAATATATGGTTTGATGGGGTTAATTACACTGGCAGGCTTCAAAAATGTCCCAAATAGGACATGGGTGCATGATGACCAGCTGTTAAAATCCCAAGTTGGAAAACTGGAATTCACACCCTCCAAATAAGGTATTTTAGCTCACATAGAACCCGACACACCTGTACATGGGTGGCATCACTGTACTCAGGATATGTTGCTGAACACATATTGTGGTGTTCTTTGGCAGTAACCCTTAAAGTTCTCCGTACATGTATTCTTAAATTGCTATGTGTGTCAAAAAAATAACCTTTTTTTGGGGCATAGATTGGTGGTAAAATGGTTGCATGAAAAGAGTAAAACTACCCCAAGGTTGTCTTCTTTAAAAAAATATATACATGAGAAGTATTATTCAAGGATTCCTGACAGATATCAGTGTTACAATGTAACTTGAATTAATTAAAAAAATAAAAATAAAATGGTTTGGCAATAGCAAAGTGCTACTTGTACTTATAGCCCTATAACTTTCAAAAAAGCTAAGAACATGTTAACATTGGGCATTTCTAAACTTTGGACAAAATTTAGAAACTATTTAGCATGGGTGTTTTTTGACGGTTGTAGATGCGTAACAGATTTTGGGAGTCAAAGTTCAAAAAAGAGCGTTTATTTTTCATTTTTCCATCATATTTTATATTTTTTTTTATAGTAAATTATATGATGAAAATAATGGTATCTTTAGAAAGACCATTTAACGGTGAGAAAAACGGTATAAAATAAGTGTGGGTACAGTAAATGAGTCAGAGTAAAATTACAGCTAAACACAAACACCGCAGAAATGTAAAAAGAGCCCTGGTCCTTAATGGTAAGAAAATTGAAAAACGGGTTAAAAAGTGTAAAAGTGTAATTTAGTCCTTTAGGTAAGATTTCATATGTTTTACTGAAGGTTGTAAGAGAATATAAATATTTAGATACATTTGAGTTGATCCCTAAAACTATGGGCCTGCCTGGAGGATTCTGTTCATTTTTATGTATTTTCGGTAAAAATTATGTTAGTGGGATTTTTGGGTAAGGGACATTTAAAACTCAAATTCTTGTTTATTAAAGATTTTCAGATTGCGTCCTTTAGTTAATTTCCCCCCCAAAGTTTGTTATATGTTGGGGGTGGGGTCAAAAGATATAATATAATGGTATCCTCATCTTCTTGTAATTCTTAAAGTGCTTGACGCTCTTGACGTTATGATGGTCATATTTCCTTTTTACATTTTTTTCGAAATATTTTAAAATTAGTTTTTTTAACACTTCTAAAGGACCTTATTTAAAACTGAATGGATAAAAATGTGAACTTTTCTAAAACGAGGTATTAATTAACTGAGGATGATTAGAGGTTTCAGCAGGGCGTCCGTAAGACCGCAAAAGCAGCCGCCTTAGGGCGCACCAGCCCAGAGTGTGCTAGACTGGAGTTTCCAGCAGAAGGTGGGCGCACGGTGCTCCCTCCTGCCAGGCACTCTGTGGGACAGGGTATGGGGGAAAAGAATGCTATGGGACAGGGGAGGGGGGAAGAATGCTATGGGACAGGGGAGTGGCTAAAAAGAATGCTATGGGACAGGGGAGGGGGGAAGAACACTGGGGGGAGATGAACATTGGGGGGGACACTAAGATACAGGGGAAGGGAAGGAGAATGAACACTGTGTTAGTGGGGGCACCACTAAAAGAGAAGGGAGAAGAACACTAAGATGGGGGCATGGGAGAAACATTAAGGGGAATGGGGGGCACTAAGAGACAGGTAAGGGAGGGGAGGGAACACTAAGAGACAGGGGAGGGAGGAGAGAGTAACACTAAGGGACAGGGAAGGGAGGGGAGAGGAACACTAAGGGACATGGAGGGGACCATTAAGGGACAGGGAGGGGAGATGACCACTAATGGATATGGAGGGGAGGAGAGAGGAACACTAAGGGACATGGAGAGGAGAGTGGCACAGCACACAGTGGGCCTGATTGGGGAGAAAGACACACAGATGGGTCTGGGGGTTAAAGTGCCACACAGAAGAGCCTGTGAGTGGAAATACAAAGGGATTGGGGGTGAAAGAGACACAGAGAGGCTGGCGCAAAAAGAGACACAGAGGGGCTGGCGGGAGATAGACAGGCTGGTGTTGAAAGAGAAACACACAAAGGATCTGGTAAGAGTAAAAGACACAAAGGGTCTGGGAGAGAAGGAGACACAGAGGCTGGGGGGAGTAGGAAACACAAAGGGGGTAGTAAGAGATACACAAGGGAGATATAAGACACTAAAGGGGTTAAGTCATTTTAAAAAGGGGATAAGAAACAAAAGGCGGGTTAAGAGGCACACAGGTGAAGATGCTTTTGGGGGGGGGTCGGTCTCCAAAATCATCTTCGCCTGTGTACCCAAAAATCCTTGCACCGGCCCTGGGTTTCAGGAACAGGACTATCTAATGTTATAGAATGTATATCTGTATTATAGGTTCTACTTATAAAAAATCTTTTTAAAGTTGCATTCCTCACAAACTTATTTACGTCTAAAAATGCTGGAGCAGATGTGGGAGCAGATTTTAACCCTTTTCTTAAAACAGATAATTAGGAGGATGTGAGGTTTTTTGGGATAAATTCAAAATCTGTGTTCCTTTCCAATGAGGTTGGTTCTGGCCTTTCTCTCTTGTGTTCTTCTTCCATCTCTCCTTCCTCTAAACCAGGGGTTCTCAACGTTAGTCCTCAGGACCCCCTACCAGTCCAGGGTTTAGGGATTACCTGGGTGTGTCTAAGGTGTTTAGAAAAAAAAACACCTTAGAGTCTAAGGTGTTTTTTTCCCTTTTTCTAAACATTTGAGACACACCCAGGTAATCCCCAAATCCTGGACTGGAAGGGGGTCCTGAGGACTGGGTTGAGAACCCCTGCTCTAAACTAAAACGTCTTTTTTTTGCCCTTGGTGGTAAGGCCGGGGAGTCAGGGAACTTCCGGGCGGAGGCAGAATGACGATCACGTGGGTCCGTGACGTCACTTCCGCCAACCGCCCGGACACATGCGGATCACTTCCGCCAACCAACCACGATCCACCAATGAGAGTGGGACATAATAAAGGCGCCAGAAACCCGGCCAAATTAAAGGGACACATACAAATTTTACTTTATGAGGGACATGTAACCTTTATTTTCATTGGAGGAAATGGACTGCACTCATCAAAGGGGAGGAACTTAAACATTCAAAATGGAAGATTCAGAGGACCATCATCACAGCTGACTGAGGAAGCTCCATAGAAGGAGTGAAACGCGTATTGGCTACTTTAAGGAGGACTTTTTATAAGGACTTTTTATCACCATTGTTTTTATTTATTTTATTCTTAAATAAACACATTATTTTTTATTGAAGATCCTTCTTAAGTCCTTCTTTGGAAACCTCAAGAGAATCTTCCTAGGGGCAGTGTCATCCCCATTTAAATTAACACAAAACCTTTATACCTAGAGCCGGGACCCACAGGCTCAGGACCAGGTGAGCACATCACTTATTTCCACCATATTGTGTTTTCCACTCAGCACTTTCTACACATTGGTTTGCTCTCCCTGTTGTTTTGTCTTTGAGAATTATCCCACACCGAAGGAGACAGGCGGTGCTACCCTAATAAGCACAAAAGCCATCATACAAAGCCAGTGTTCTTATATACAGGCTCCTTGAAATGTGAGTGTTAAATTTATTCAAATACCATCAACAAGTATATTATTACTTCCCATATCGTCTGCACTATATTGTATTCCTTGTATTTTTTTCTACATGCACTATATACTTTGCCATTGAATTAAATATTATTCGGTAAGCTGTATCTGTGTTGGAGCGCTCCACTTATTGGTATAAGTTTGTTTGTAGCTTAAACCACACCTAGGATCATGCAGAAAGTTCGGTACACAGGAATCAGTATTGGAGTTCCGTGAAAGGAATGCAATGAAGTGTCAGTGTTACGAGAGGCTCTTCAAACACACGAGAGTGTTTGAGACACAAATCTACACAACAACAAACACAACACATTGATTGAGCAATCAGCTGTAGTCACGGGTTTCTTTTTAAAGGGAGATCCATGACGTCAGAAGCATGGGTGTGAATGGATCGGCTAAACCCGGAAGTCAGACGGGTCAGTCATACTTTGACCTCGGTTTGTTTAATCGTGATTTCTTACATCTGTAATCCTCTGACCTCGGCTTGTATTCTGACACTGCTTATTTGTATAACCCGGCCATTCTAAGCACCAGTATTACAAATATTCTTGTTTGTGATTCTGTCTGTGTTCTGGTTACTGGATTCCTGACATTACAACAGGGACACATTTAAGGAACCTACAGACATATCACAACAGTTGGCCATTTGTGGCTCAAGGATGGATGGAATTGATCATCGCATGGATCAATTTGCCCAGGCCTTGCAAACCATCCTAATGCGTACTGCTCGCTTACAGCCTGATGCACAGGATGCTGCTGCCTCTCCGGTTCTTGTACCTGAACCCGTGCCTGCTGTTCTAGCACATACTGTCCACATGCTAACTCCACAATGCTATAATGGGGATCCTATGTTATGTTGTGGGTTTATTAACCAGATTGACATCCATTTGGTTATGAACCCACGTTCATATCCTAACGCTAGGTCTAAGATAGCGTTTCTGATAAACCACCTGTCGGATAGAGCCTTGGCATGGGCAAATCCTATTTGAGAATCTAATTCCTCTATTTCTTATACTTATGCTGAGTTTCTCTCAGCTTTTAAGAGGACATTTGACATGTCTGGTAGAGTCAGTTCTGCAGGCAAATCTTTGATGAGGATTAAGCAAGAATCCAGATCGGTAGCAGATTTTGCAATTGAGTTCCGTACTTTGGCATTAGAGGTTGTATGGAATAACGACTCACTAGTAATCGCTGTCCAGGAGGGCTTAGCTGGATATATCTTAGATGAGATAGCATCTAGAGAATTGCCTATCTTACTCAAGGATTTTTTACATTTCTGTATTGTCATAGATAATCGTATAAGGGAGAGATGCACTCATAGAGAGACCTGAAGAAGGTTATACTCCTATCTAGTCCCCAGTCTGCCATCTACAGCCTTGCTCGCCTTACCACCTCTGCCTCAACCACCAGAACCCATGCAGTTAGGTGCCACTAAGCTAACAGATGCTGAAAAAATCCCATAGACGAAAGGAGGGCTTATGTCTTTTTTGTGGTAAAAGGGGGCATTTGAGAAAGGAATGTCCTAGCCGTCTGGAAAACTCCAGCACCAAAGGCCTAATCAGGGGTCGGCCTTGGGTGTTATGAGATTATCCCCTTCTGCTAATACAACTAGACTAACTATACCAGTCATATTATATGTTAATGGTAGCACAATCACCACTGATGCCTTGAACGATTCAGGTGCAGCAAACAATTTAATGGACCAGGATTTTGCCAACTCTGCTGCCTTGTCTCTGATCCAAAAGGCTACACCTGTTGAGGCCATTAGACTAACCTCTTGTCACGCATGAAACCCAGGAATTGTGCATGTCTGTGGAGGTATTGCACAAAGAAAAAATAACATTTTAAATATTGCATTCCCCTTCTTGTCCTATTGTTCAAGGTTTCACCTAGTTGGTGAAACACAACCCTGTTATTGTTTGGGTAAACTCAGGTATATTGTCCTGGGGAAGGAACGTTATTCTAATTGTCTTGAACAAGTGCATCCTATTTGCACACTTAACGTACCTACTGTCTCTCCTTTATTAACTTCTATACCTATGCAATATGCTGACCTTTCTAAAGTATTTATTTTTAAAAAGAGAGACTAATAAGCTACCTCCACATCGTACTTATGATTGTGCCATAGACTTGTTCTCTGGTGCTATGCCCCCAAAGGGTAGGGTCTACCGACTTTCAGAAAATGAGAATAGAATTATGGAGGAATATTTACAGGAATCCTTAAAGAAAGGATTCATTCGGAGATCCTCATTCCCTGTAGGTGCAGAATTCTTTTTTGTCTCTAAGAAACAGGGTGATTTGAGACCGTGTATTAATTACAGGGTTCTTAATAGCATCACTTTCTGTAATGCTTACCCCATCTCACTCATGATTGAGTTATTTAATCATGTCAAGGGGTCTAAGTATTTCACAAAGCTTGATCTAAGGGGTGCATATAATCTAGTGAAGATAAGACAGGGGCACGAATGGAAAACGGCTTTCAACACTCGCAGCGGGCATTACGAATACCCAGTGATGTCTTTTGGGTTATGAAATGCCCCTGAAGTATTTCAAGATCTGATAAATGATGTTCTATGTGATGTCTTACCCTTATGTGCTGTTGTCTACTTAGATGACATCCTCATTCATTCAACAGATCTTAAAACACAGGTTAGGATGGTGTTGTACAGGCTACTTCAAAACGGATTGTACTGTAAACTAGAGAAATGTCTCTTTGTTCAGACTACAGTGCAGTTCATCGGTTATGTCATCTCTGAAAAAGGATTAAGTATGGATCCTTCTAATATATTTTTTCTCATTTTTTTTCTCACGTTTTGCTTTTTTTTTCATTTTATCATTTTTTTTTTTACAAATTTTTTTACAATTTTTTTTAATTTTTTTTCAGATGGTAATCTGGACTTTCAGATATATTAATGCAGTTTAGCATTATTGATAATTCATAAGTCGGATGTTGTAGGGACTTATTTACATGGAGTAATATTGGTTGTCACAGGATATATTGTCTCTACTATATATATTGTCCTATTTTTTTTTGTATATATTATTATATCTGCAAAATTAATGAATTATATTTATATATTATTATATGCGCAAAATTAATGAATTATTAAATGAAGTAATGAAATATAACACTTCATATGTTGCTTAGTCATGTCGTTGGAGTAAAGCAATACTCCTGTGTGCCAGTTTTATGTGGATGTTGAAGGGGCAAATTTGAATTTCAGGGTTTTTTTAAACTTGGAATTTTGACACTGGATCCATGTTCCATTTTAAAGCATTTAAACTTCAGCTTAATGAGGTTGTTCAGGTGAGAACTATAGCTCCCTGTAGCCTCTCTCATGTAAACACTCACTCACCCACTCTCTCACCCACCCACACTTACTCATCCACACTCACTCACCCACCCACACTTACCCTCAGTCACCCACACTCAGTCACAAAGTATGTTTACTTACAGTTTGTATCCTCCTCTCCTGCTCTGTCTCCAGTCTTCAGCCTGTCAGCTCGAGCCGACACTGTGTGCAGGAAATCTTCTTATCTCCCACACTGCCGGCTCTTTATTGCTGACAGGATCCGGGGCTACTACAGGACATAGGAGGCGCGTTCACAGTGCCTCCTATCTCCTGTATGCTGATAGCACAAATTATGCATGAATCAACTCGGAAGTCCCTCTGGTGGCAGTATGAGTGACTGCAACTGGAGGTGTTACTAGCTCCAGTTGTACATAGGCTGAAAAGAGACATGTGTCAAGTTCGGTTTTCCTCACATTTGTTTTTTACTGTTGACCCAAAAGAAGGCAAAAAACCCAGTCTGAAGCACTTCCAATTTTGCAACAAACTGGGAAAAAATGCTTATTGATCCGTGGATCAAGAAACTATTACCCTACGGTTAATAGATTATATAATTGTATATTCTGTTTTTGCAAACATGCATCTAGTTGCTGTTTAAACATCTATACAGATTCTGATAAAACCACTTCTTCAGGCAGAGAATTGCACATCCTTATTGTTCGTACAGTAAAAAAAACCTTTCCTTTGCCGTAGACTAAATCTTCTTTCTTCCAGTCTAAACACATAAGCTTGTGTCCTATGTAAAGTCCGGTTTGTGAATAGATTTCCACACAATGGTTTGAATTGGTCCCGGATATATTTGTAT